ACCTTGTAGATATAACATTACCTTGTAGATATCACCTTACCTTGTAGATATAACATTATATTGTAGATATAACCTTACCTTGTAGATATAACATTATATAACCTTACCTTGTAGATATAACATTATATTGTAGATATAACCTTACCTTGTAGATATAACCTTACATAACCGTACCTTGTAGATATAACATTACATTGTAGATATAACATTATATAACCTTACCTTGTAGATATAAACTTACCTTGTAGATATAACATTACCTTGTAGATATAACCTTACCATTGTAGATATAACCTTACCTTGTAGATATAACCTTACATAACCGTACCTTGTAGATATAACATTACATTGTAGATATAACCTTATATAACCTTACCTTGTAGATATAACCTTATATAACCTTACCTTGTAGATACAACCTTACCTTGTAGATATAACATTACCTTGTAGATATAACCTTACCTTGTAGATATAACTTTACCTTGTAGATATAACATTACCTTGTAGATATTACATTACATTGTAGATATACCCTTACCTTGTAGATATAACCTAACCTTGTAGATATAACCTTATCCTGTAGATATAACATTACATTGTAGATATAACATTATATAACCTTACCTTGTAGATATAACCTTACCTTGTAGATATAACCTTACCTTGTAGATATAACCTTACATAACCTTACCTTGTAGATATAATATTACATTGTAGATATAACCTTACCTAGATATAACATTACCTTGTAGATATAACCTTACCATTGTAGATATAACCTTACCTTGTAGATATAACATTATATAACCTTACCTTGTAGATATAACCTTACCTTGTAGATATAACATTACATTGTAGATATAATCTTACCTTGTAGATATAACATGACCTTGTAGATATAACCTTACCTTGTAGATATAACCTTAATCAACATGAAAGAGTTCTCGCTCGCACACATTTAGTTCGAGAAATTGATGCAATGACAGTTCATTTCACCATGCAACGTCACAATGGAATTCAAACGAGCGCATTTAGGTGATTTAGTTTTGTTCTTTGTGTACGAATGGTGGCATAAGTTGTAAATAAATAAATAAAAAAGCAAATTCACAAAAACAAACAGAAACAAAACGAAAAAGGGTAAAACATCTGACTCATCACTGTAGTACGTTAATATGTAAATAAAATTCAATAAAATATTGCTTCAATGTACCTATAAGGACACATTTTCAAAAAATCTCTAGAATCATTTCGGATCATTAGGTAACTAATTTTCAAGTAAAAATGTGTTTGATGATCAAAGGTAGTTAAATGTGTAGATTCCCTCTAACAGAAGGGATAGACTGCGACCGTGAAACTGACAGATCTCTAGGTTGATACTTGTCCTATTACTGAGAAGCGACATCCTACTTCAAAGTCGATCAATTGTACAGTTACGTTGTCGCGCGACTCCCTACATGTACACCAAATTATGAAACTAGTCTACTGTACTGTAGGCGTACAGAGCCTTCGATTTTGTCATGATATATTACAGGTGTGCTGAGAACGTAAGTGAGAGTATTCCACGGAATTTCCAGGATGTCTTCTAAATGACATACTAAACCGGGAGTTCTTTGCTGAAACGTCTTGCCATTATCTGAAACAATACGAAATCTAGATCATTTGATAGAGTCTGGTACTGGAGCTAGGCTTATTAAGGGCGTATCACACCAGTACTGCTTTCCCTTCATTTGTTACCTGTATGTAACAATATCCCTGCTGTGTGTCACAAAATCTGTGACACTTGGAACGAGGTGTTCCGAAAGGAAGCAATTACTTGATGAAAAGGTCTCACACCTGCGGCACGAAGGCACATTAGCCACGCTCATGAAATATGTAAAACACATCTGTCTAAGTCTGCACTTGAGTTTTTCTTTGCAGACTTGTTGTTTTTTATAATGTCAATAATACAAAATACATGTAGCGTATGTATTATTGAAATGTATGGCCATTGCTATTGTTGAACACTCTGTGGGTACTGCAAAGCGTATAACTTTGTCTTAGTAACACGAGATTCAGCATAAATGCTATTATGTTATGATTCCTCGTCCTGTTGTGTTGTAGATACAAATGGAACCCCTCTTATTTGGTATAAGTGTAGCGAAATTGGACTGGGTCGATCGTCGGTGACCTGGTAGCGAACTCGGTAGACCGTCCTTCTACAGTTCGGAAGGCACTGGGTTCGAACCTAGATTTGGTAGTTGCATTTTTTTGTCCCTACTATATAAGTAACGATTACTTTTGAATAAACGGATGAAAACCTGTACTCCTTAATTTTCATACCTAACATTACTTACAGTCTATGAAACATTTTATATATAGTTTTACCTAACTTGATGCGTCCACGTTATGTATAAAATATATTAGCTGTGTCAATGAGAGCATCTAATAGTGTTGTTATAAATAGATAAAACGACTTTGCTTACATATCAGCAAACATTTTTACAACTAAATATAGCACTCAGTAATACGACAATTCAAATATATTCACCCAATCGTTCATTTTTTTCTTGGCTCCCATTGCACGTGAGGTTAACGCCCTAGCAACGACCGCGTCTCTACACATTGCCTGCTTGTACAACACAACATCTGTCGCTATCTGTTTGAAGTCGGAAGTAACAAAATAAGGCTATAAATTATGTAATTTTCCATATGGAAATAACTGTTATAATGTGTTCATGTAAACGTTAGCTAGATCCCATGCTTTAGCAGTCGACAACGGAGTAGGACATTGATTTAGCTTTGACTACCCAAATCGATTACAATACCCTGATAGCGTAGCTCAATCTCCCCGAACCGTGTTTGATATCAACTCGTCACTTGGTTTAGTTTGGTCGAGCTTACATAACTTCATACGGTAGCGCCCTCTATCGAGCTTTTATGTATCTGTACCATCAGCACGCGACACTCTGCAGTAACATTGCCACATCCGACCTAACGTGCTACTAATTACAGCTTCAAAGTGGAGACCTGACAGTTTTCTAACCAACACACATAGGTTTTTTCGATGAAAATGACGTTTGAAACTTTTTTTTATATTTTACCAGGCACAACACAAGGAAAGGCTCTGAACGTAAAGTTAATGAATATTTAATGATTTTTATAAACACAACCATTTTAGAGATTTAAAAAAAAAACACCATTAAATATTAATGAAATAATCAAACCTGATGTTTCCAAACTAGAAAACAAATAAAAAGAAAACAAGCAGGTGTATTTTATAGTTATATAACTGGTCTGTCGTAATATCCTTCTAAAACTCCTGATTTGTAGGGGGCATTTTATCTGGGGTCGATTTATGTCCTAGTTTACTGATTTCCCACCGAATGCAATGAGATACTGTTGCCTTTGTAATTTTAAGGTAACTATACTGTAATGAGTTTAAATTTAGCGGGTTCAGATTTACGCAGTATCAATTTTTGTAACTTGTTTAATGGATTTAAATTTTACGCATGACAATCAACACCCCTAGTTACCCCGGGAAAGTTCGTTAGTTTTATATTTCAGGAATCTACCACAAATAGTACCAGAGTGTTTTCATACCTACATTTAAATAGTGTGTTCTGACTTAAAAATAAGGAATTGATTTAAAACAATGATTACATTTGAGGGAGGTACATACAGGAAGTAATTAATATTAGAAAAAACATATTCCCCGAAAGGAAGTATTGTGGTGAATGGTATTTTTCAATGGATGAGAAACACGTGTATTTATATCTATGCCTCCCGAAGGTTAATAACTATTCAATTATGTGCGCGAACCCCTTACTTCTTTGTGTATAAAAGAAATGTGTGTCTTTATTTCTGTATTCAATATATCAAACCCCTCACGTCCTTCGTGTGCGAGTAAGAGAGAGAGCGAGAATGTATTATACATTACTGAATGTTATATAATCTGTTTCGATTCATGTATCATATGCTACTGTTATGATTTTTTTTTATTTAAATACTTTTTAAATTTTAAAGTGATGCCATGACAGTGGAACTTTTTCACTGTAAGAACTACCACTAATTTATATCCACACAAATACACAAATAGAATAACGGGATCCTGTATGCTACTAGATAGCTTTTCTGTCATAAGGCAAAGTCAAACGTAAAACAAAATCGTTTGCAATTGTATTACATACCGACTAATTGAGGTACCAGGCATGTTATAAATTATATGTGTGTGCTTTACAGAATAACATATCAATGTGGTGATCCGCTGATCCAAACACCATTTATATAATCTCTAAATCGAGACGGATATTTAAAACAAAAATAGCATTAATACCGATTATCAGCTAGTAATGAACACGTTTCTTCATATTAAACAAAACAATTAAACTGACTGTGAAAACGTGGTCAATCACAATGTTAATTATTATACGTTACTCAAGCAACCGTCATTCTCAGGTAAAAGGTTTGCATAATTTTATTTTTTTACTAAAAGACCCCTTTAAAAGATAATAGAAAATGAAATATGTCCCCAGAAACATCTGACTAGATACTGTGGACACTTGAATCCAAGTAGCTGGATTAGATTAAGCTTGATTGTATTAATATATCATCATAAATATTTAAATATATCACACTAAATTATGCTTTACTGTAAATCTTTTAAATCTCGAGAGATATTTATTTTCGCGAGAAGAGAGGATCGTAAATATAAGTTCTCACGAATTTTTAATTTACTTACAATGAAACAAAAACGTTCAATTTCTCGTGAATGAAATTTCACGAGAAGATGGCGTTGGAAGAACAGACTCGAACATAATCATTCACGAAAATAAATACTCGCTAAAAATAAGTGATAAACAGTGTATATTGCATAAAGTACCGGAAACATTCAAAACACTTAAACACTGGATACATTTATGAAAATTTACAATCAGGAGAGTTATACATGTACTAAGGTAGACAGTCCCACCGCTCAGCGTTGTCTCTCAAAAACAGTAGTTTTGTTCGGTTAGGGTTAGTGACCTGGAATTGGTTCGGTTAGGGTTAGTGACCTGGAGGTGGTTAGGTTAGGTTTAGTGACCTGGAATTGGTTCGGTTAGGGTTAGTGACCTGTAGTTGGTTCGGTTAGGGTTAGTGACCTGGAGGTGGTTAGGTTAGGGTTAGTGACCTGGAGTTGGTTCGATTAGGGTTAGTGACCTGTAGTTGGTTCGGTTAGGGTTAGTGACCTGGAATTGGTTCGGTTAGGGTAAGTGACCTGGAGTTGGTTCGGTTAGGGTTAGTGACCTGGAGGTGGTTCGGTTAGGGTTAGTGACCTGGAGGTGGTTAGGTTAGGGTTAGGGACCTGGAATTGGTTCGGTTAGGGTTAGTGACCTTGATTTGCTTGGTCCATACTTCTTATGTTAACACTTTTCTGCAATATTACCAGGACAAATATCAAAATATTCTAACCGTCTGAAATGCCAATAATCTATGAATAATTTGTATGGATATAGAGAAATTTCATAGGAAAAAAACTAATCATGGCCTGTACAGAGTAGAAACATGTTGGGAATCACTACAGTTACAAATAAATATAAACTACAATATGACATAAAGAATTTCATATTTACGTGTGCACGTGCTTGCTGACACGTCAAATTTTGCTGTACATATCACAGAATGCATGAAGGTAGCTAAGCAACATTTGATTACACTAGTGAGTCGGTATCACTACTGTTGATGCCAACATACTTCGTGGCGTCTCCAGATCCTCGACCTCCCCCACCTTCTTTTGCAACAATCGGTTTCTTTTTATACATAGACATGTAAGAAGGCCCCTTCACGTCCCCTAATCTGTAATAGGGAGGCGGGCCGTCCCCCGGGGGTGAGTCTGTAACCCGGGAGGAGGAGGTTGAGGCACTCGTGTGCCTTGTCTCTAGGGGTGTCACGGCGTTTGACGACCCTTTAAAGCTTCCATGTTGCTTCAACAAGTTTGCTTTTTTCTTGTGAATAGATATGTACGAAGAATCGTTCTGATACGGTTCTACAGAGATTATTGGAGAACTGGTCTGCCGTTTAGGCTCTGGTTTCTTTTCGACCTTTCTTTCTGGTTGCTTGGTATTTTGTTGATTCACTTCCGGGTCAGACTCTGTTCCGTCTTGCCGTTCTGTGTTTTCTTTCCCCGCCGCAATTTTAAGCATTTGGTGTAGGGTTCGTGGCTCGGTGTTATTGTCTAATACTTCACGCAATTCGCGGGCAGATCTTAGCCAACTTAGATATCTGGAACTGACGTTATTAGATTTTTTCTTTATTTTCTTAGGTTGGGTTTTTTCATGCATTGAAGTACCGGTTTCACATGTAAAGACACACATGTCGGAAGAGGAAGTGGTGGTGATATGGATGTCTTCAGTCTGAACCGCAATCTCTGATGTCTCCACTCGTCTCACTTCCACGGTCATGTCATTTAAGTTTTGAATGTCTGGGGAATCTGCGTCAACGTAAATCACGTTATCGTTTGCTCGACTTCCTTCCGAATGGACTCCGGAGTCTATATCCGTTTCTGAAAATGCACTTTTGTTTGTAGTATCTCTAAAGTACGAAATGCCCGTGTCTGAGAATATTGACCTTGTATCGAACTCTTTCGTTTGCGTACTTTCGGGGTCAGGTAAACTCCGCGAACTTGTTGGACGTCTTCGTTTCATGAACCTTTTCATCCATTCTCTGCTATGCGGCTCGGGAGTTTCCGGAGGTAGCCCGAATACTTTCTGTTTGATAACCTTTAGGGGTTCCACTCTCTCCACGTAATCCTGGCATTTATGTACACAGTAGATGCAGATACATCCCCCATAAACGAACACTATGGCTGGTAGAACGATGAACATGGCCACATTGTTTGGATCATCAAGAAAAGATGACGCAGCGGCTGTGTCATTTGTAGAACGCTTAGTCCTTACGTGTTCTGGGAACATTTTGTTGGTTTCAATTGCATCGTCTACATTATCTACATCGTGTTCTTTAGATATGTGTATGTTATTCAAACTAGCATCCTCCTCAGACATTTTATCCACATTTTGCTGCTGTATTTGTTTAATAATATCAGCCGTTTCATCGACCCCGAGGTCAGTAATTATAGCGGGCAACAACCGTGTTCTGACGGGAGGCGACTTTGTCGACTTTTGATAGTTTGATTGCTTGACGACAGTTTGTTTCATTAACACGTTTTTATTTACCTCCATGGAGGACGCCGTATCTGCTTTCGAACCTTTTTGATTTGATAGGTGGATGTTTACTTCAACATTAGCTTCATTCGTTGACGTCATTCGGCTGCCGCTACCTCCAATCGATGTTGGAAACAAACGCTTGGAATTCAATACGGAGAATCCTACAATATAGAATATATAAATTAAACATACACATAATGGCAACATTCACTGCTCTGACCGTTGGAAATTTGTTCCTGAGCGATACTATGTAGAGAACTTAAACCATATTGCAATGTACATATTTAACTAGTTTTTATCTAACTGATACAACGTATATGTTAGTTTCGATCATTTCATTAATAGGTCAATATATTGGACAAAAGGCTATGTTTAACAGTTCTTTCCTTGTTTCGTTCATATGAAATGTTTATATCAAATCATGGTGTTCGTTTCGATTTTTTTTTATTCTTAAAAATACTATTGATTTGACGCTGTCAGTCCCTAAATAACACGTGCTCCTATCAAACTGTATCATCATTTCTTCCTATATGTGTTACAACTGTATGTTGTTGTTAAATTAATTAAATAGATACATGTAGTACATTCAATTTCAAAACCAAAACCCAAAACGTTTGTGTAAAGTAATTTAATGATGTGCAATAGTAATAACAAATTGAACTATTTCAAAATTTCCATTTGGTTTTAAATTCTCCCAAAATAAGCGGTATTTTCATCAAGAGCTTCTCCCAACTGTACGATATCTTTATAATAAGATTTGAAAGCCGCGGTCACATCTTACGATAACGCAAATAGTTGACCGTAGGGGGGATGACCGTAGTAGACCGTAGTGGGGATGACCGTAGTAGACCGTAGTTGGGAAGACCGTAGTAGACCGTAGTGGGTATGACCGTAGTAGACCGTAGTGGGGATGACCGTAGTAGACCGTAGTGGGGATGACCGTAGTAGACCGTAGTGGGGATGACCGTAGTAGACCGTAGTGGGGATGACCGTAGTAGACCGTAGTGGGGATGACCGTAGTAGACCGTAGTGGGGATGACCGTAGTAGACCGTAGTGGGGATGACCGTAGTAGACCGTAGTGGGGATGACCGTAGTAGACCGTAGTGGGGATGACCGTAGTAGACCGTAGTGGGGATGACCGTAGTAGACCGTAGTGGGGATGGCCGTAGTAGACCGGAGTGGAGATGACCGTAGTAGACCGTAGTGGGGATGACCGTAGTAGACCGGAGTGGGGATGACCGTAGTAGACCGTAGAGGGGATGACCGTAGTGGGGATGACCGAAGTAGACCGTAGTGGGGATGACCGTAGTGGAGATGACCGTAGTGGGGATGGCCGTAGTGGGGTTGGCCGTAGTAGACCGTAGACGGGATGGCCGTAGTGGGAATGGCCGTAGTAGGGATGACCGTAGTGGGGATGACCGTAGTAGACCGTAGGTGACCTTAGTTAAACGTAGTTAGACGTATTTTAACGTAGTTGCCCGTAGTTAGACGAAGTGCGACCCTAGTTTACCCTAGCTATTTTTATCTCAGTTCTACGAAGTTCAACGTAAGTTACCCGTATTTACATGTAGTTCACCCTACTTTCTTTATATTTCCTCTTTTGCCGATTTTGAACCTACTTCAACCTAGTTGACCGTTGGACACTACGGTCAACTACGTTCAAATGGACTACGGTCGACTACGTTCACATGGACTACGGTCAACTACGTTCACATGGACTACGGTCAACTACGTTCACATGGACTACGGTCAACTACGTTCACATGGACTAAGGTCAACTACGTGTGTGACCGTATGATGTGACCACAGCTTAAGACACTACACAGAGGTCGGATACAAACTGCCCCGTTGTCGGGGTTAGTTTGACTGCGTCAACGCCAGTCTTTTCGCTATATAAATTATACAACATATTCCAATACCTGGTTCCTAGGACCCAAGTATTGTTTTGTGAAGTCTTAGTAATCAAGGGTTCATCGTATACATGTCATTGACAAGAGCAAATCAAACATACAAGCGATACATTCTCTATCAACATACCGTACTGTACAAAGTGACCACGGTCGTGAGAAAATGGTTCCAGGCACATATTTGTTCTTTGAAAAAATTGTAAATGAACAAAGGTGAACTTTTCATTAAATGTCTGTTTCTGCGTAACGATTAAGTACATGCTTAAAAGCTGACACAAATAAAACATAATTGATCTATTTATTCTTGGTTTAAAGGCGACCGGTGGTGTTATTTTAAACGTCAAGTAGGTTGTTCATAATGTGTCGTTTTCTATTTCGGTTTCACAAAATTACAGTAATATTAATTTAAGTTGATTGTTGACGTCAGGTATTTTTTATTGAATTGATTCAAATTGCTTTATTTCGCGAACTAATAAAATATTCTTCATTCGCGAATACTTCAATTATTCGCGATTGTGATGAGGATATCGCAAAACTGAAAGAAATTTGTGTATGGAACTAATATTCGTGAAATGTTTGCATTCGTCAATTAGCCTCCTCGCGCGCTAGAGCATGAATCCAATCCAATTCATCAGCTATGTTTTTAATCTAGAGTCCATATAAACACGAAATATATACTTCCGGTCAGAGCCGTCTTCTGCTTCATCGAGGACACCCGCCATGTAAATCTAGGATAAATCCAAGAAACGACTTGTCCTCACATCGAGAGCTCGGGTAGTGATAACCAAACCACAAGGTACTCTAATGAGCATAATCAAACACATTGACCTTTGTGTCACACCAACAAATAGTATATTTCCTTTCGAGATCCTAATGGCGACCATACATTCTTTAGATTCTAGTGGTGAGTATTACTAAATGAACGAAAAGGCCATGTGGTGTAGAAAATGGTCACTTTTTTTTTGCTTCCTGTATCGACAGGTAAAGTTAAAAAAAGAATGTGTTTCCTGGCTTAGATTTCGAGTATTTTCTGTGAGGTGATACGTGTACTTTGTGACCTGCTATCATACAGCCTCCGCTATTGTCTGGACGTTAAAATCTACACACACAAACTAGTTAAACCATGAAAGACCGTTTTGAGTTTAATGACAAGCTGTTTGATAGGTTGTACCAATGCGCCATTTATGCTCATTGGAACGATAAAATGTCACCATGGAAACGTTATGTGTTTGTGCATAAGCTTAGATTACTACCTTGGGCTTCTCCGGATCAACCCTTTTTGCGTTCTTTGTATTAACCCCTAATTAATCGTGTACCTTTTGACCCTGTATGACCTTTCTATGCTGATTGTGGTTTAATTGTCTGTGATTATAAAAAATGTATGATTAACGGTAACTTTTTACCTTGACGCCATTAATCTATTGTTGTTTACCCAACCAAAGCATTAACGCCATTTAACAATGTGTTGCTAACAACACAACTTGAAATGGATACATCAATCAATTGATGCATAACTGAGTCACTGTACCTAATTATACTTAGGGCAATATAGCAACAGTATACCATTAAGTAAACACAAAATTAACCCATCTTAAAAGGCGCCAAGAAAATATAATTACGATATCTAATAAAACACCAAAACAAAAGGGGGACCTCTTGATATCACAAAAATATAATTTTCATCAACAATAAGCATCTTGTTAATATTGACTAAAACACACGGAATTGTGTTACAAACAACATCGGAATTGTATTTATATCAAGAGGTCATTATATTATTTTTAAAAAAATAGAGTGTAATAATAATATAAAAAAAAATCGAAGACCCGATCACTAAAATTAATTTTGTTCACAAAAATGGGCATTTTCGAAATACATTCCTCTACACACTTTTTATTAACGGTCATATCAGGACGAGTCAGGTTTTGATGGGGGAGGAAAACCGCAGTACCCGGATAAAAACCATCGACCTGCGGACAGTACCTGGCGACTGCCCGACGGAGGCTTTGAGTCCGTATTGACCAAGTTGTCCTGCACTGGCCATAGTGAACACTACTTCTCGATATATGGGTTGAAAGAAAGTATCACTCATATATACTAGATACGTCCTCACACTCGTTCGCTCAATCCGCAAACTGGGCGCCTTTAAACCTGCCTGACGTACACAGGTACTTACAAAGCCGCCTATCAGTAATGTGTTCCGCCTGTCATATGTGTATAAAGAACAGAGTTCCATAGACCGCTTCCTGGTATTATTTATTCATTCTGCGATAAAAGACTAGAACATATACTATCAACCACTTAAATGTCAATGAACTAATTAGTGCGAAAAATAATTATGCGATAGATTTAAGTATGTACTTTCATATTCAGGAAATAGGTTTCAATTTTTTATGTATATTGGTGGTAGATTTTAACATCTTTTGGAATATATATTATTATATTTGTGAGAAAGAGTTTGATTATTTTTTATGCTAGCCTGAAAATGAGAGACCCAAGGGATAATTTATATTAGGTGAAGCTTTACATGCAACCGTAAGGAATACCATTAAAATCTTACGTCTCGAGATTTCGTGCTTTAAATATCACAAGCATGTATGCAAGAAATCCTGTTTTCAAAGATGAAGTATATTGTCAATATATAGTCATAATAAAGAGGTTCCCCGACGAGTGCTGGATGGTTTTCCTATTTTATTTTGTTATTTTCAAATAGTATAAAGCTATAACTATTACGCTCGACATAATGTGCATTGTTTAATTATCATGTGCATGCTTTTTCTTTTTATCTCCAGATAAAAACTGATTACTTCTTACTTCATTTGATTGAGATTCTTCCAATCTTTCAATCATGTACATTACTTCAATTAATCATCTCATTAATACTTTTCTTTTGTCATTTGTATTCTCATGTGCGTACAACTGTCCGCCATCTATCAAATCAGCTTGTCTTGTACAATGTAGGTTATGTTACATGTTATTCAATATTTGTGTAATGTTTTCGACACCCTTATTGTACATGTACACATTAATTACTCTGTATTATGCTGTAATGCTTATGGGCCGTAAGGCTGAAAGTGAATAAACAATACAACAATACAATAAAGACAACAGGTACAATGAGTGACCAAACAGGATTCGTTTAACAACTCCCTAGAAACATATGTTGGTTATATGGGACAAATAATTCTCTGATGTTATACCATATATTTTCTCTTTCCTGTTATCAAAACAAGCCTCGGCTTACATCAAAGGG